AGGGAAAGAAGAGGGAGAAAAGTTGAGTATCTTGCTTTTCCAAAACTATGATTTTATATTACTTTTTGTTTGTTTGTCTTTTTTCTTTTGAGGTTATGTAGCTCTGGCTGGTTTCAAAGTCACTACATACAGAGGATGACCTTGAACTCATCTTCTTCCTCCCAAGTGTCCATCATCTTCCTCCCAAGTATCAGGGTTCTAGGTATGCCTCACCATGCACAACCCAAACTAACATTTTATTTGATTGTTACTTATTTACTTGGAGACAAAAAACAAAACAATTAAAAAACAGAGTCCCACATAGCCCAAGATAGCTTCAAGTTTTCTATGTAGCTGAGGATGACCTTGATTTTATGGTTCTCCTACCTTCACACACACACACACACACACACACACACACCAGCCCCAACCCCTTTCCAGGGCTGGATTACAGATGTTTGCCACCATACCCAGTTTTATGTAGTGCTGGAGACCGAAGTCAGGATTTTCCACATTCTAGGCCACCAAGCTTCTTCTGCATCTCCAACCTAGCATCATAAAAGAATATACAATTTCTTTTCAAACTCACTTTTGCCAAGATGAATAGATATGAAATGACTGTAGGGCAAAGCATTCAAAGAAATTTCTCAGCCTCCTGATCTTCCTTAAGTGCCATCATTGAGGGTGACATGAGTGTCTCTGTCTGCCCATCCATTAGCATCTTGTTGGGCTGTGAGGCAATTTCCTTTGTCTGCTGGTATTTGGTGTACACACCCGCTTTGCTCCAGCACTCCTTGAGATCATTTAGTACTTCTGGGATTAATAAGAGCTGCGAGTTTGTAGCTCCTTGTAAAAGCATTGCCACAGGATGGGGAGCAGACTCTGGTTTCAATCACTTGTACTTTCTTACGAGGGAACCAGATTTCTTCCCCTCAACTTTAAGGGCTGGCTTCAACAGTCAAGGTACAAGGCAAGTCCAGGGATTTTTCTCCATGTGGTTTGCCCTTTGTTGTTGTTTGAAGGTAGGGTCTGTTTTTTGAGGTTGGCCTGGAACTGGATATTTGCCGATTCACTGGGAGCCTCCTGTCTTAGTCTGCTGAGTGCTGGGATTGATGTTTGTTTGTTTGTTTGTTTGTTTGATGGTGGGCAGAATCTAGGCTCAGGTAGGGAATGTCTGGGGGGGTTAATCCCCATGGAAGACTCATTTTAACTGTGTGTGGAACTATTCCCTAGCAGAAGATTCTGGACTGAATAAAGTGGAGACAGTGAGATACACATGCTTTCATCATTGGTCCCTTTTCTTGATTGCAGATGTGTTGTGACCTGCTCCTATAAGCTCCTCCCACTGTGATTTTGCCATGATGGACTGTAACATGGACCAATGAGCCAACACAAATCCCTTTCCCCTTAAGTGGCTTTTGTCATCGTATTTTGTCACAGCTGCAGGAAAAGAACCCAAGAGTCTCACACTATAGATTTGGCTTTTGTTGCTGTCTTTTTTTTCTGGGGAGGGACAACGGTGTCTCACTGTGTTTTTGAGGCTGCCTTTAAATTCACTTTGTAGCCCAGCTGGCCTGGAGCTAACGGGAATCTTCATCTTCCTGCTTCAGCCTCTGGAGTATGGGAGGGGCATTAGAGTGTGTGGGGGTGCCACAAACATGCACCACCATGCCCAGCTTGGTGTGGTTAACGTGCCTTGGACATGGGCCTGACCTAACTGGTCTCTTTTTCCTGACGGTTCCTACAAGCCATGTGCTGTGAGGTTGCCTTCCTCACTGTTCTAGAAGCCATGGTCTTTGAGGCCCTAGGTTCTTTCTCTGGGTTTCCTACATACAGGATGTGGAGCCTGACTGCACATACCTACTACCCACAGGCATGTTTGATTAAAAGGCTTTCTGGTCTGGATCCTACTCTGTGATTCGAGGACAGTTCCCAGGAGAGTGCTGAGTATGATGTGCTGTGAAGTTGCCTAGGGTGACTGGCATAGCTTCCTGTGATGGACAGGCAGTGTCCCGGAAGTGACAGGTAAGTTGAATTACATTGATAAGTACATGCACACCGTGGTGCCAGAGGATTCAGGGTAAGGATGCCTTCTGAACACATCTTAGTGTAAGCCTCTCACGGTCCCCTCAGCACTGCGTCACCTTGGACCACTAAAGTGGTCTAAAGGCACATCTTGGTTTCAGCTTGTAGCTGTTTCTTTTGTCCTCTGTATCTAGATTTGTGCCATGCTCCACTGCTCATTAATAAATGAGAACATCCAGGTCAGTGGGTTTTCATTGTTGTTTGCTTTTATTTTTTGTTTTGTTGTCTTTTCACATTGTGGGGTGTGTGTGTGTGTGTGTGTGTGTGTGTGTGTGTGTGTGTCACATGGAGGTCAGAAGACAACTAGAGGGATATTCAATTTGATGATCTCTACACTTGGCAGTAAACGTTGCAAGCATGGCTATCCCATGAGCCATCTTTGGGGATCAAACAATTAAGTTAAGACAGTGTCTAACAGTGACTTACTATGTAGTCCAAACTCACAGCAATCCTCCTGCCTCAGCTTTCCATGTTTTGGAATTACAGCCTTGAGCCACCATATCCAGCTGTGAGGCTATATTTTTTGAGGCAATAACTAGTATGATATTGGCATGTGAACTGTAATAGTATCAATTTGTTGTCAAGTAAATACAGTCAGAGCTTTTAAGTAGAAGCAGCAGGGATGGGCCACAGGGAGGGAAGAACCACAGCTTCTCTTCTGTCAGATCTTGTCATCATTGTGCCAACAAGGGAATGCTATGAGGAATGCTAAATTACCATCGCTCTTTTTGTTAACTGAACAAACTCCAGGGGTTGATATTTTCTCCATAATTTTATCTGTGCTGTTGTCAGGGATGGGGGTCCCTGTTCTGGTCACTGGAGTCTTGGGAGCCCTATGCATGCTGCAGGCATGTGCAGCCTGTGGTCACTCCTGTCCATATCAGTGAGGCTACACAGCAAGAGGTAGAGGGTGTGTGGGTGACAGCTCTATTCCCTCTCACACCTGCGACCCCCAAAGCTGCTGGGAAACAGAGGTGCAATGCCATTTGCCTCATTGCCATAGAGCGGGCCTGCATTTCAGTAGGACTGAGCGGTGTTCTAGGAATTCAACCTACTGGCAATTCTTAGTAGCAACAATAAACTTATAGCCAGAGCCCGATGGTGTCAGAGTACTCCAGTGTCCGTCCTTCAGTCTGGGGACAAGTGACTAGACTCTGGACTGCAGCCAAATGTTCTCCAAATGGTCCCTGAGAAGGTCTCCTACCAGCAGCTGTGGTCTGTGCATTCCTTTAGTCCACACACATTTGCTGAGTGTCAGCTATGTGTGTGGCCCAGATCCAACCTGTGACCTCAAGAATCCCAGTGTGCAGTGCCCAGGTGGTAGCAAACACAGCATTACATCAGGAAACCTCCTCTGTGTGTGCCGCCTCTCCATACGGCTGGCCAGTTATGGGGAGCATGTTGAGTGCCGCACTACGGAATTTGGAGTTAGTTAAGTGTGTGTACGTTTTACAGATAAGAAAACTGAAGTCCAGAGAAGAGGCCTTATTCAAGTTCAGATAGTACTTTAGTGTCTGCTCAAGACTAGAACCAGTCCCTTGAGGCACTGAGGAAGCCAGGCCCTTCCCATCCTACCAGTTGCTTCCATGTGAGAAGAGGAAAACTGGTCTACGTTTATGTCAGGACCCTGCAATTGTTTTCTTTGGGGGAAATGCTGCATTTCAAGATTAAATAAAGCAAGCACCTTTTGAACAAGTATAGAACATGGCTCACAACTCTAACTCTGTTGGATCACCTGGAGAGCCTTTCAGAAACACTCATGGAACCCCTCCTCAGACCAATTAAGTATTTGTTTGCTCGGAGCTTGGTCCCCCCATTTTTTAAATGTAACAGCTTAATTCCCAGCCAGGCTCTGTGGTCTGATATAGTCAGTCCACCATGACAGCAATGGTCTAGAGAGCAATACTTACACATACTGATGAGTATGTGAATCTGGGAATTTTGTTAGAATGTAGTCTCAATTGAGCAGGTCCAGAGGGGCAGAGCAGCTGCTGTTTGTAGACTATGTTTCTGATAGCTGTTCCTGAGGGCACTAGGGATTCCGGTGAACCCTTTAGTCCCTGGTTACTCCATCCAATTTCCAACCATCCACCATCTGAGCCCTTGTTTTTTCAGTTGTCCTGGCTCCTAGCAGCACCCTTCCTTTCTTGGGCTCTTTTAGGCTCCTGTCATCCCTGCTGCCCGAAGCCCTAGGTCTGTGCTGGACTGCACAGCTTGCCTGTTTGGGCTGTTCTCACTGCATGGAAAGCTCAACCTGTGTCTTAGGATTCTGGTCCACTTCTCTCTTTGCCCCAGTCACCTGTGCTAACTGCTTAGGAGTAGGATGCTTTTGGGTTCGTTTTAGCCTGTGCTGCACCCAGCTAGGTGCCTATGGCCTACTCTATAAATACTCGTGGAGTTTAACAAACAAACTTGAAGCCCAGGAGAGCAAGGCCAAAAGCTGTAGTGGCTGTCTTCTGATACAAACTAACATTCCTTGGAGATTATGCGTCAGGCTTTATGCTCTCCACTCAGAACAAAAAAAAAAAAAAAAAAAAAAAAAAAAAAAAAAAAAAAAAAGAGTCCATCAAATTTAACCAAGTAAGTGGTTATTTCCTGTCTGGACTTGGGGTTTTAAAGCTGGCTCAACACGGTGCAGTCCACCAGGCAGGAGTAAGAGTTTATGGGGGTTGGGGGTAGGATTGGAGGTCTGCTTGCAGATCTGGGCTCCTTGTAGCAAGGAGGGAAAGGTTGGACATTCGGGTCAAGGTGGATGGGGAGATCTCGTAGCCCAGAGGACAGTAGGAAACTCGGAGAGGCAGGCAGGAGTTGCCAGAGTTGAACTAAATTAGAGCAGCCGTTCAGGTTTCTTGCGTCTCTCGGAGCCCACGTGGGGAAGGGGGCGGGGAGCCGGAGGGAGGGCAGGTCCAGAGCCGAGGGGCGGGGGTGGGGTGGGGGGGAGACTGAAGGAAATGAGACAACCTTTTCCTCCCACGGACTCAGTCTCCTTTAGAGTGTGCAGGGCTCGGGAAGTCCTGAGGCCAAGTTCACGCTTCCCCTGCTCAGCCCTGACCAGGAGGACCGCCCCAAATTTGTTCTCCGGTGCACGGGTGCCCCAGTCACAGGGCACAGCCCCACTTTGCTGCACCCCTCCCTGGGTGATCTGATCCACTCCAGGCCCCCAGCTCGGGCCCCGGAAGTGTGCGCCTGCGATCCCAGAGAAGGTAAGCTACTCCCCTGAAGCGCGCACAGGGCTCAAGGACGCCCGAATTCTGCTGAGCGGGAACTCTTCAAGCTCTTAGCATCGGAAAGCTCCGCTTTGTTCCGGAACCCCTGTCCAGGTGTTAGAACGGGTCCTGCTTTCTCCTGCTTCCTCTTCCTGCAGTCCAGCCTCTGGCTCCGCTTTAGCTGTCTCCGACCACTCTCATCCCCCTGCCTCCACAACTGGCCTTTGAAGAGCCAGTGAGCAGTAAATCTGGGCGCTTCTCTAGCTGCTCTAACTCCAGGACCTTGGCTGAGCGGGCTAGCCCGCGGCGGTGGCGGGCTTTGGGTTTGCCGGGGACCACCCACCTGAAGTCGGCCTGATGTACATTGAAGTGCTTACCTGGTTCCTCTCGGAGCCACTGAACTTTTGGCACTTATTTGGCGACCCCCAGATCCCTGAGATTAGATTTGACTGTGGCGTGCAAAGGCTGTTGGCGCCCCCTAAAGCCTTAAAAGGGACTCTCTACTGTTGGAGAGGGGCTCACTCTTGCCTTCAGAGCTTATCTGGGGGTGACGAGAAGCCCTCATTGAGGGTCATGAAGACCACGAGGAGAGGAAGGTTCTGAAGCAGGGAAGAGAGAGCTCGTTGGGTGGGTAGTTTCGGTTTTGCGCCTTAGTTAAGCTCGTTTTTCCAACATCAAGCCTATGGCAGGAACTCCTAGAAGTCCTGAGTGTACAAACGGGCAAAATGAAACCAGGGAGTAAGAAGACTTGAGCCACGTAAGTTTGCAAAGGGTCCAGCCTAGATTTGGACCCCAGTTGATCTGTGCCACACACCCCAAGTCCAGCCCTACAGATGGCTCCTCTGTCCAGTCTGAGCAAGAATCTGCCACTTCCTGCCTGCACACACCCGGGGAGACCAAGCCTTTGCCTTTTATAGCAAATACATAGCGATTCCATTCAGATCCAAAGTATTTATTTAATTCACGCTGCGTCCCAGCTCAGTAAAGACTGTTGTACCCTTCAGCATCAGCTTTAGCCCCTCCTTCTCCTCCAGGCAGTCAAATTTGTATTCTGCCGCAGCAGGCTGGCTTCAGGTCAAGTCCCATGAAGAGGAGGCCAGGTGATAGGGTCAGACTATTAGCTTTGGTGATGCCTTCCTGTAATTGTGTTTTTCTCTTCTGAAAAGTAGTAAATGGGCCAGGTCTGATGTTGCACACCTGTGATCCTAGCACTTGGTTGGTGGCAGGAGAATCAGGAGTTCAAGGTCATCTGTGGCCACAAAATGAGTTTGAGTCCAACCTGGGTTTCACCGGACCCTGTCCCAAAACACCAAAATCAAAAACGAAGTCAAGAAAATAGTAAAGATGGTAGAGTTTATTTTTATTTTGTATTTATGTGCATGTGTGTGCCTGCCACATGTTTTAATTGTGTCCCTTAAGAGAAGTCTGGTAGTATCTGGAGGTGTCTGATGGCATTTTTGGCTGTCACCATGTAAGTGGGGGAGGATTTGTTCACTTGGGTTGTTCGGGAGAGCCCCGTTCCCACAATGCAGTTATCTGGCCCACAGTAGTTGGGTTGAGTCACCCTGGCTTAGTGTATCAGTTCACAGAGAGCCAGTATTCCACGTCTTCTGTTTTCATCAGCTCTGTTTTAGCTGATCATCCCAGCCCCAGTTCTCAATCCCCACTGCAATCCCAGGGCCAGAATTCCTTTGCTGAATTCACACTAGGCTGTGCTACCACCCTGCCCCACACCTTTTTTTCCCCTTCCATTGCTAACAGAAAGGGCCTGGATCTGTAGGTGTTTGTCAGGCATTTACAGCAACCCCCGAGCCAGTCTTTACAGGTTGAAATCTAACCTGTGACCTTATAACCAGCCCTAGACTTCCCTGCCCATCCTCACCCTCCAGCCCTTCTGCCATGGTCTCCACACATCCCAGCTCACTGCCACTTGGCTGTTCTGAACTCTTGGAATCCTTCCTCCCTGTGGCTTGGCAAACACCCCATCGTTCTTTGGTCTAGAACTCAGTCTCTTCTGAATGAAGCTCTTCCACTGCTTATGACAGCTTCATTGTTCCCTGCTGTCCTATCCTGTCCCCCTTTGTCTCTTGCTGCAGAATTTACAGCAAGGACCCCTTGCTCACCTCTCCACTGATATCCACATTCTGAAAGCCTGCTCACAGTGCCTGCTGAGCTCACTGGCTTGTGGACGTTGCTCTCTGTGTTCAGATTCCAGCTTTGCCACTTGTAAAGTCTATGACCTTGAGCAAGTGGGCTCGGACTCTCTGAGAGTCTTACAGGAAGGGCAGTGTGCCTTCTCTGCAGACCAGTGTGCTAATCAATAGGATAATTGTTCATCTGAAGGCTGAGTGCCTGCTCGGTGCTGTGCTCATTTCCTGAGTTTTGACTCACCTGAACCTTATATCACCTCTATAAAGTTCACATGGGGCACAGAGAGGCTACAGAGTTTGCCTAACGTCACACAGCTCATTAGTGGTGGGGCTCACATCCATATAAGCATTTGAATTTCAGAACACGCATTCTTCTCACTCGCTATGTAGGTAAGGGGTTTAGTTTGTATCAGACTCAGGAAATGTTCAGTAAATGTGAGCTGAGGTTCGTTGACTTATTAGTGGTAGCCTGAGCCCATAGTTTTTCTTTTTACCCTGTACCACGCTTAGGATCCAAGTCTGTACTGTTTAGATGGTACTGTTCTGACTGTCCTGTTAGCAGTCCTGGTTTTCCTCCTCCTTTTCGAGTTGCTTGCATCTACCAAAGAGTAGGGCCTTGGCCCCTAGTCATGCCAACCCCGCTATAGAACTGACATGTGCTTAGTCAAGGGTGAGACAGCACTCACTCTTGGGGGAGGGGAGATGGCATAGAAGAAAGCAATTAGCACTCCTATTTGGAGGAGAGCAGTTCAGACATGAAGTAAGGGACTCTGGGTGAGTGAGCGAGGTGAATAAATGCTGGCTCTCCCTCCTTCTACATGGCAGACTATGCCTTCTCATTTATCTATTAAAGGTAAAATGTGTTGAGGGATTTTAATGCTTATTAAAATGGAATACTGGAGAGCCAGGTTTGGAGCCCACTGCTGGCACTGGATGCTAGGTTACAGCTGGTCACTTCACCAGCTCGGAATCCTGTTTCCTTCAAAGAAGCCTTGGCTCTGCAAGCTGAATCTGCTACTTGCTGGTTCCAGGGCCTTGCTCTGTTGGGCCAAGTTTGACTCTGTTGCCCAAATCCCTGCACATCTGTGTCCTCTGATTTCAAACTCAGCTGTTCCAAACATAGTTTGCTCTTTCCAGAAGGCTGGTCCCTAAACTTTAGTGAGATGCGATCACCTTGGGTGGTGTGGGGACTAGTTTTGTAAGGGGTCTGGGAAACACTCTGGTGAGGGCTGCTTCACAGCATGTCTCAGAGTGAGCATTTTTCTGTTCACTAGTCTCTATGAGAACTTGCAGTTTCCCAGATCAATCCCAGACCATTTCTCTCACTTCGAAGGCCCCTTCCTAGATCACCAGCTGCTGATGCCAGAAGCAGGTTTCCCCTGTCTGTTAAAGAGGAAGAAAAGCCAGACCCAAGGCCTGGGCATCTCCTCTACTTGATATTTGGACAGTCTGACCCAGGAAAAAAACCTGTACAGAATGGTGGGTGGGCAGTCAGTTGGTACCAGGACCTTTGATGTCACACCCATTGGCTTTCTCCATGTATCATTCTTCCTGGACTCTGTGAAATGTACCCTGCTGTTAAACTGGGTGCAAATCCCACTTGGCTTATGAAGAAATGTTTTGATTCAATATTGTGATCACTGTCTGAATGTTTGGGTGTTACCGTGAACTTGGAATGCTGGCTTTGTGCTGGGTGCTGGAGACACACAGACATGACCCTTCTCAACCAGATCATAGACCCCAATGTGATAGATAGGTAATCACCAGAGGTCATTCAGTAAGAATGAGAAAAAAAAAATGGGTGTTCAATGGAATCAGTCTATCCTACAAGAAGAATCAGAAGCTTGCTGGGCTTCTGGGCAGGGCAGGGCCATCCAGAAGCAGGAGTATCAGAAAACACAGGCACAGAGCAGGAGATCAAGAAAGGGCTCTGCAGATCTTCAGAGGTTTGGTGGGGACTGGAGGCCCAGAGATGGGTATGGGGAGGTGTGGCTTGTCACTAGTCCAACTGTCTGTCCTTGTATTGCTAGAGACAATGGAGTGGGCGTTCCCAGTTCAGGTGTGCAGACTTCTTTGAATGGTGACATAGAAGGCAGACTTCTATCTCTGCTGGCCTTGTTTCCCTCTGGGGCCATGGGAGGGATTAGAGCCTAGGGGGTGGAGGAGGGACACTGTCTCCAGTAAGCAAAGAAACCATAGTCAAAAGAAAGCTGAGCTCAGTAGCTGTGCACGGCTGTTTGGTTTTCTTTTCAGAGCCCTGGCTGGTAAACTGTGTGGATGGGCCCTCTAGAGCCCTGGCTTTGGAACAGTTCCCTGGGTAGCATCTAGAAGGCTGTATGGCTGGCTAAGTAATGGGTAAGTTTCTCAGACTTAGGGAGAGAGGGGCAGATGTAGAAAGGGAGACAGATTTGTAGAGAACAGAGATGGTGAACTAGAAGAGATGGTGTTTGATATTTGGGCCTATTCTGTTCCAACAGGTCAGTGGCTATCAGGGTTGACACACTTTCCTGAACCCAAAGCCTTTTGTGTGTACTTGCTGCATAAAGCTCCTGTAGGTGATGGGCTCATCTGCTTGCTGACGGCATAATTGATGGAGGTGCCACTGTGCTCTAAACTTGACTCTCCCACCATTCGGCACCCGCTGGGCAGATGCAGGTACTTTAGGAGAGATGAGTGAACAGAAGCCCTAGTTAGCACAGGAGGCAAACATGCCCCACCTCCAGGATGTCCATAAGCTGAATGGAGAGATAGAAGGACAGCCACACAACACAGGGGTAATGGAGGACAAGAATACGATGATAATGTAATAGTCCAAAAATTGAATTTCCCCTGGAATCTCAAGATGGG